CTCCTGTTATCATTAGGCCACCAGTCTCCTGTTATCATTAGGCCACCTGTCTCCTGTTATCGTTTGGCCACCTGTCTCCTGTTTTCATTAGGCTACCTGTCTCCTGTTTTCATTAGGCTACCTGTCTCCTGTTATCATTAGGCCACCAATCTCCTGTTATCATTAGGTCTATAATGTCCTCATGAACCCCTGTCTAAAATTTCTTTAAGGAAGCATCGCCTATAAATGTCAATCAGGGAGTCGGAGGAGCTGAAGTGATTTGTGTCACTTTGGAGGAGTTAGTTGGTAATAGTTGTAAGTTTGTCGTATGATGTGAATTTATGTTTGAAATAGAAACACAAAGGACAATGGCTCTGACTGAACCCCCACCATATCTGTTGGTATGCAGGGGAGGCACTTGGAGTTCTCCATTTCATACAGGCAGTATCTCAGGTCCCCACAGTCCTCATCCACCATGCATTCCTGTGGGGTGATAGAGAACAGTTTTCAAATGGGAACAGAATTTAATACAACACTCATCCCACTTAAAAGTGCATCGACACACAGTAAGTGAATTGGACTTAGAAATTATAAACTTTGTGGTCTAACAAGTTTTATGACAGTTTACAAAGCAATCAGCTAAAAATAAGTATGTGACTGTTTCACAGCAACAGTCAACTCCGCTGAACCCTCTGATAACAACGCACAGACGATTTCTGAGGTTGTGATTCTGCCAGCAGGTCCGTCTCCATGGAAACTGTATGATGGACAACGTCAGTGACAGCTGAATTAAAACCGAGTTCAGCAGAACTCTGCAGCTCAGGAGAAACGTTTAGCTCCCTGAAGCTGTTTGGGCTGTCAAATTTTAATTATACTGAGGAGGAAGTAGCAACAAAAGTGTTAAAGCCTTGAACAAACAATGACAAACACACACAGACCTTTACACAGTTACTGTCAGTGTGTGTCTAGAGATAAGAAACAACACACAGGAGGACATGTTGTCTGTCTTCACTCAGAGACACAGGACAACACTCCTGACGTCTCATTAAGTCTGATTTGAATGGCACACTGTCCTTGTTACTCTGAATCTGACCTCAAACCAGAGCTGAGCTCTGAATGACCGACAAACGTTTCTAAACAAATTGAAACCAACTTGTTTAAGCTAAAAGAAGCTAAACTCAAGCTGTAAGCTATGAGTAGCAAAGAGCTAGCTAAAAGTCTTAAAGCAACACATAAAAGTAGCAAAACACTAGCTGAAAGTAGCAAAACGATATTAAAATATTAGTTTAAAGTAGCAAAATATGAGTTGAAAGCAGCAAAAGACTAGCTAAAAATAGAACAAAAGTAGCCAAACACTAGCTACAAGCTATAAGTAGCCACGGGCTAGTTAAAATTCAAAAGTAGCAGAAACTAGGCTAGCTAAAAGTAGCTAAAGGTAAGCTAGAAGTAACAACATGTTAGGCACATGTATCAAAACAGTAGCCAAAATTGCACAGTGATAGTTAAAAGCTAAAAATAACAGAAAGAAATAGAGTGAAAATGATGAAGCAGATTTTTAAAAGAACAATGTTTTAGATTTACATTCATTAATATGAGTAAATACTTCTGAAATTAAATATTTTCACACAACACAACACCCGTTTCCTGGAGGAGCTGAAGGTTTTGATATATGAACAGCTAAAATAGCACAAAGTCTGCAGTTTTCAGATTGCTAAAACAAAATATGGAAGAAAACAATTCTGAATCAGAACAATAAACAAGAAATTGTCATAAATTTAACATCATTACAACTATTTCTATCTTTTAACTGTTGGTATGGATGTTGAATTGTTTTTAGTTCTTGTAGAATTTAAACAGAACGTTTGTAAAGAAACTAAACCTTTAATTCAAACCACGTTGCCCTGAGTGAGATTCAGGAACAATTTACATGAAAACAAACATTTCTCACGAGTTTTTGGAGGAAAATACAGTTTGAGGATCATTTCAAATGAAATAAAAATATATAACTGAACAATTTAAGCCTTTCAGTCAGTTTTGGTCACATTTAATGTGCATTTTCTTTTATCGCAATGACTAAAATTAAATGACTTTGTTCATAAAACTTTAGAGTTGGGTCAGACAGCGACAGACTAAAGAACTCGTTGGTTTTAAGCTGCACCTCTGGCTGCACCCAGATGAGAGCAGAACAATCTGAGGATCTGTGAATAATTTACAGGGTTTTTTTTAGACTTTATGCAACTTTTTCTTAAACAAGACTGAATCGGGGAGGGCATTAGTTCACCTATTAAAGCTAATAACACAGATGTAAACCCTGTTTGACCTCTAATAGAAATTCAGTCCACAAAAAGAAAAAAAAAAAAAATCTGTTGTTGATTTTGAAAGATTGCTAAAAAAAAAAAAAAAAAAAAACGAGTCTGGGAATGTCTAACATATTTAATTCAGAGTACATTTATTTTATGTGAATAATTTCACTCTTTGGTTTACAAACATAGATTTTTTTTTTAGGCTTTCATTGTGTTTTAAAAGTGAGAACACCATAAAGGAATGTTTGTTCATCACGTCACAGATTTGGTGGGTTTTTTTTTTAATTTAATTAATTTTATAAGAGCATATTCCTAAAAATAAAACACAAAAGTTCAGCTGCTGTCAGAGCATTACTAACAAACTTCCATCAGAGCCTCAAAACACATGAAAGTTCAACTTAATTTAATGTTATTACAAAAAAATACACATTTAAACATCCATCCATCCATTATCTTTTACTCACTTCTTCAATTTTGGGTCACTGGGGTCACCGGTGCCCATGTCCAGCAATCACTGTGCGGGGGGCGGGGTACACCCTGGACGGGTCGCAAGTCCATCACAGGGACACATAGAGACAAACAAGACAAACAACCATTCACTCTGTCATTCACACCAAGGGACAATTTAGAGTTACCAATCAGCCTAACATGCATGTTTTTAGTCTGTGGGAAGAAACCGGAGTACCTGGAAAAACCCACGCATGCACGGAGAGAACATGCAAACTCCACCCAGGAAGGCTCCCCGACCGGGATTTGAGCCAGGGACCTGCTCGCTGTGAGACAGCAGCTCTGCCAGTTGTGCCACCGTGCTGCCCCACATTTAAACAGTTTTCCTTATCATTTCTCCTTATGTCGCTGTTTTTCATTTTAATCAGGTGGCTTTAAGAAACTTTGCCTTTGCAAGGACTTTGTCTAAACCAATAAAATAAAATAAAAGTCACCTTCATGTTAATATTTGAGAAAACTTTTCCACACATTGAAAGGAAAAAGTTAATCAATATTCTCTTTCATTGAGCTAATACTTCATGTGCATGACTTTAGAAAAGGGGGAAGTGTACCCAGCCTGGCTTGGAGGCTCTTTTTTTTTTTTTTTTGTCTTCCTGCTTTTTATTTTTCCAGTAGTAAGTGCTATTAACCTAACCACCATCTGTACGGCTGCCAGGAAAGCAGCGGATCAAAACCACGTCTGGAGGGGAAAACAGCAGCTAACAGCAATAATGACCTCAGTCTCCATAAGCTGGCCTCCTGATGACAGAAACTATGATACGTATATTGTGGCTCTCTTTCCTGAACGAGCTCATTTATGGGGTAAAAGCAGCCACAGCTACAGAAAGCAAGCCTCTTTTTACAGACACTAGAAGTTCACAGGAAATTTATAAAGTTTACTAACCTTTTAAATGGAGTAACATTGATATTTAATGGACACTATGATAACTTGGAGAGCATTTTGCATGTCTGCTGAAAGAGATGTTTGTGTTTCTTCAAAAAAAAAAAAAAAAGAAGCAAACCACAAAACTAGAATTCTTAATGTTTGTGTTTGAGCATGTTGATCCGTTAATGGTGCAAATCTCTGATCTGATGAAGTTTTCTTCTAACGTCGTGAGAAGAAAACATTTGAGGAAAACTTTTTATCCACGGTGCAGAAGTAAGTTTTATTCCAGATTATTCTCTTCTATACTAATTCTTGAACTTTTTGTGAAAACTCTTCTGACCTTTTTTTGTCATTGAACCTATTTTTGTTCACCAAAGCTCTGTCCTAGATTTTCTGCTCACCTCACCTGCTCCCTGCTCTTTATCAGCACACCTGCACACTATTACATGTCACTGACTATCTGTCTCCAGGTGGCCACTTTAAATCAGCGTTTGTCCTTCGGAGTTCTTCATCCAGCTCTTTTCAGAGCTGTTTACGGATTTCACCTGCACGGTCGAGTTTTATTTATTTATTTATTTATTTATTTATTTATTTATTTATTTATTCTCTCTGCTGCCCATGTCTTCCTAACTGCACAAAGAACGAGCAGGAAACACAAAAAGACTCACGTGGTCCACGCTGTTCCACTGACCGGAGACCTCCATGTGCACGTGTGAAAGATGAGTCTCTCCTGTTTTGTTGTTAGTTTTCTACAAAGAATATTAAAGTGTCAAACTGTGAGAGACATGCAGGACAAAACAGCTGCTGAAAGGGTTTATCTGAGAAGGGCCCACCTCGTCTGTTCTGTCCAGGACCCGAGTCTCTCCAGCTCTGCTCTTTATCGTCTTCGTGGACTCGTTGTGATAGCTGGGTCGAAGATCCAGTGATGATGAAGATAATTTAGCATTCTCTGTGGTGATCTGATGAATACATGGTTGGATCTATCTTGTTATTATTGTTTCATATAAAAACACACAAACACATATATGGTATATAAGTATATAAATACATACAAAACACATACAGTATATAAATATATATGTATATACATACATAAGCACACACAAACACATATATATATAAATATATATACATATATACATACCTACACACAAACACATACCAGTATATATAACTATATACATACATACACTCACACACACACACCATCACACACACACACACACACACACACACACACACACACACACACAC